TCTTATCTATGCACAATCAGCTTGTAACACTCCAAAGAGAAAGGAAAACTTGAAATCGCATCATAAGACCCCTTTAAGGGAACAGTGGATGCAGTTTTAGAAGTTTGGAAGGAGTTGTGGACGTGTGTTTGTTTGTTCCCGGCATTAAGGTGATGAATGTTTTATAAACAAATGAAATAAAATTTAAGTCAATAAAGTTTTTGTTCCTGTTTTATTTATGTTGATGTCAAATCTTGCAAACGTTCTCTACGCAAAAGCTTTGCGTGTTCATGACTCTTTAGCTTCACCCACGGCACGCCTCCAGGAGCTCGACTGTTTTCAGAGAGAAACGTAAAGCTTTATCTGTCTTTTATAAATCTTATAAAACGAAAGACTCTTCGGAGATATGAAGGATGCAACTCTATAGGTACACTCTATAGATTAACATGAGATTGGCAGAAACTGTGTGTGTTATGTCCCCTTTAATGGAATGTCTCTATACCTCAATTCAGCTCTACTAGCCATTTTTGGTCCAAAACCTGACATGTCTCTTTTTCATTTCATTTTCAGAAAAGCTTAGTTAGCCCATGTGTCCAATTCCCTACAGGATGAAACCCCTGTTATAGAATCCAATTAAGAATCATTGGTGTCACAGTTCAATATTCTATTAGCGGATCTCAGTTCATATTTCTGTAAATCAATTTAATGCTTACATAAATGGTGGTATACAACCATACTACCCTGAAATTAACCATAAATCAGATAAATTATATTTATTATTAATTATTGGAGGCACTGAGTCACTTCAGTGTTTGTACAGTGTTTACTAGTCTGTGTTCGCAGTGTTCCAGACTGTCAGTATACATCCTGCTTTGGCTTCATTTGTAAATATTTTGCTAGTGGAGCAAAATTAGACTATAATTGGCCTAAATGTGTGTAAAATGTAAATTACACAGTTTTGGCTTGTTTATGTAACTTTTAAAAAGGAATGAATTATATAAACTGCATACAAGCAATACCTTACTTCCATTCATGTCCAAGTGCAAGGCCATGCTGATTTTCTGAAAAACGGGTGTGATGCTGTATTTTTTTTATTATATTTCCATTTATAACTATAAAAGAAAGGCAAGGTGAGGTAAAATACTTCACTTATATTCATATGTACTGCTGGCTAACAATTGGCCATTACCTTCAACAGAGCATATAGCATTTACTGGGCTTCATCAGCCTTTTTTCAAATATGAAATTATATAAATTATATAAATGTGACGTTATCGTCCCTTTTTCTAAATAGCCTGCCTAATGGGTACCTCATAGAGCTGCTGTGTTGTGTATAATCCTTTGGTGTGGGATTATACACAGCCTTATGAATGGAGTCTCTCTGTATTCCCACAGGTGTGCAGATACAATCCTGTCCGATGTTTTCCTACCATGTTGCTTCGATAGGCTGACAGGCATGTGGTCTGTTGGCTTTTTCATGTTGCATCCCTGGCTTTGACAGTGATGGTGCTTTTGCCGAGGAGTTGAACAGCAGTTCATCTTGGGCTCGCATTTGAGATGGGATCGGGATCTGAAAAAGAGAGTGAGACATGCTTGTGTGACACCTCTGTGAGTGTGAAATATGCAGGCCCAGACTGCAGCACGCTGAGGCGAGGGGGGCTCTCAGAGACCCTACAATTGTGACAGCCATTGATTTATGTGAGAGGGTCTCAATATGACCTTTCAGGGCCTTTCCCAATCGAAAAGCCTGAGAAATAAAAACACAGATTTAGAGTCTCTATCCTCTGAATATTAATTTTAATAAGATTAATCCGTGGGCCAATGAAGGTTAGATAAATGGTATTAAAGCAGTGCTGCTAAACACTTGATAAAATTACAAGCAAATTATTTTAGCGCCCTGCTGGAAACAGCACTCTTTAAAGCTATATAACATACGGTGACCATACATGCTCTTTTTCCTGGACACGTCCTGGCCAGGGTATCTATATTTCCTAAAATATCCAGGTTTTGGCTTTGTTTTCCTGTTTTCATACTTGCTGGAGGTAATGATCGAAAAATAGTTTGACCAATAACATGCAGGCATTGTACATAATCGACCAATCGTGGCACGTGAGAAGGTGGGAACAGTCAAAGTGATGCAAATACGCGTACATAGGTGTGTTCGACTTGCGCAGACCGATCATTGTATGACATCAAAGTAACGTGAGAGCGATTCTAAAGCATAAGAATCTGCTCTCTATAGTTCTCACGGTACTTTGATGTCATACACCGATCGGTCTGTGCAGCACAAACAAAGCCAAAACCCGAATATTTTAGGCAATATAGAAATCCTGGCCAAGACATGCCCCGTGAAAAAGAGCATGTGTGGTCACTCTATATAACAGCAATAAGTTAACTGTAAAAAATTGAAAAACTGTAAAAAATGTAGCATCTTCAAAAATAAAAATTCTGTCATCATTTACTCACCCCCATGTCGTTCCAAACTTTTATGCATTTCTTTCTTTTGGAACATAAAAGAAGATACTGTATTTCAAA